CCCAGTTCCCGGATCTTAATCCAATAGAAAACTTGTGGGGTGACATCAAAAATGCAGTTTCTGAGGCAAAACCAAGAAATAGAGAAGAACTGTGGAATGTAGTCCAATCATCCTGGGCTGGAATACCTGTTCACAGGTACCAGAAGTTGGTTGACTCCATGCAACACAGATGTACAGCAGTTCTCAGAAACAGTGCTTATACAACTAAATATTAATTAAGTGATTCAAAGGAAAGCAAAATCTTCAAACATTTTTCAGTTTATATAGTGAATGTTTGTAAAGAGGAATACAAACACTGCTATTTTTTTGAACAGTCAAATATTCACTTTTCTTCAATTGTTTTAGAGGAAAAACACAAATTTGATATATTTTTCTTCATGTTTTGATTTGGAATAGAATGTGTAGTGTTCCCAATGCATTTGTGTGTATGGAAATAAAAGCTATTAGAAGGATTTTGAGCTTTATTCACTTTTTTCAACACACTGCTATTATTTTGAACACAACTGTATATATATATATATATATATATATATATATATATAGTCCTCGTTGAAAACTGACCACTGAATAGCCAGTTTATCACAAGAGAGGATAGTAGCAGATATTCAGTATGTATGGCCCTCTAAATTGGTGATACAGATACCAATACAAACTTGCAAAAAGAAGAACACATACTTTATATTAGTGCAGTAAATGCAAAGCAGTCTATTTGTACATAAAATCAAGATGTTGGTCTCACAAAAGTAGAAGTTATAAATGTTGCCAAAATAGTCAGCACCCTTTCTTAAACCCCTTTCTTAACCCCTTTCTTAAAGTGGAACTTCACCCCAAATGGGAAGGTTTGCTTTTACGACTCTTACTCCCTCCTCTTTAGCTTTTGGGCTTTTTTTTTTGGAGCAAGTACCTAGTTTCATTAGGAACCCTCTTCCACTTTTGCTTGAATCTCCTAGTTCCCCCGCCCCTTTGCCCACAGCCTTCTGGGACATGTCACCGGTCCCCGGATGCTGAGTGTCCATTCACAACAGTCAGCGCGACTTGTGCATACTCAGTTGGAAACCAGCTCTGAAGCTACAAAAAGTCCCAGCTGGCTTCCCACTCTAGAATTGGCACCACCAGGGACCAGAAGACCATCAAAGAACCAGGTGAGAACAGTGCTGATTCCCTGGACGGTAAGTCTCCTTTTATTAAAAGTCAGCAGCTACAGTGTGTGTAACTACTCACTTTTAATTTTTTTGGGGGGGACTAAAGATCCTCTTTAACCTACCCAACCACAACCCTTGTAGCATCTATAGTAATGGAGTATTTGTTAAAGTAGAGGGCTTCCAACTTTAAGGATCCAAAGTGTACTCAAGGCATTGTCTACTGCTTTTTGATTCATAACACTGGTCAACACACTTTTTCTGGCATAAGGTATTCCGACAGTTTTAAGGTAATTTTGGAGTGCTGATTCCAAATCTGGCATCAGTTTTTGTCTATCACATCAGGTTTTTTGAGATATCATATATTGCATTTTCAATAAAAACAGCATATTTATGCTCATATACGAATAGCTATACAGGCATACATACAAGAATAAGATAAGATACAATATACAATAATAATGAAACAAACATTTAATGAGCCGTAGCACAAAGTTGTGAGTGACTGCATATCAATGTGAGTGAATGCAAATTACCATGAAAGAATTTAATTGTGAAGATAAGAAAAATATGTACAAAAAGTTCATTCACAATATTGATGTTACATCTGCATAAACAACCTCTTCTCTGATGATCTCTGATGTACAGCTTGTGGAATATCTCTCATCAAGGACCAGCAGTAATCTGCCATCATGTTTGAGTCCCACCGGCATTGTTAATGTTCTTCCATAACTTTAATGTCTTGATGAAAGTGTTCACCTTGCTCTTCGCTCACGTGACCTGACCCATGTTCTCTGGAAAGTGGGGCCAAGTGACTATGTAAGTAGTGAACCTTAATGCTCATTCTACATTCAAGTGCTTGGAAACTCAAGAGCAGCTCCTCCACAATCTCTCGATATTTGTCCGCTTTCCTGTTCCCAAGGAAATTCCGCACCACATCAGAGAATGCATTCCAAGCTCTAACCTCTGCCGCAGTCATTGTTGTAACAAAGTGTGGATCCCTGATGAGTGTTCTTTTTTGAGGGCCATCATTCCTGCCTTTTTCTTTTCGGCACTGAAACTTGAAAGGGTTGAACATATATAGCTGAAGCAGTCTCCAGTATGATCAAGAGCTTTGACGAATTGCTTCATTAACCCAAGTTTTATGTGCAGTGGGGGAAATACAATTTTATTCTTATCAACCAGAGGCTCATTCTTGATGTTCTTGTCACCAGGCGTCAAACTGATTCTTGGTGACCAGTTTTTTTTAAAACAGTGTTCTAATGTAGCCCTACTGTCCCAGTAGCACAGGAAACAAGGGTATTTGGTGTGACCTCCTTGCTGACCCAGCAGAAAATTAACCATTTTCAAATCCACACAAATTTACCCATTCATGAACATGGTATTCCAATCTATCCAGAACAATCTTGATGTTGGCATACTCTTCTTTCATTTTTACAGAGTGTCCTATTGGGATTGAACCATATACAGTCATGGCCGAAATTGTTGGCACCCTTGATATTTCTCCAGGAAATCATGTATTTCTCACGAAACGTATTGCATTAACACATGTTTTGCTATACACATGTTTATTCCCTTTGTGTGTATTGGGACAAAACAAAAAAAAGGAGGAAAGAAAGCAAATTCGACATAATGTCACACAAACCTCCAAAAATGGGCTGGACAAAAGTATTGGCACCCTTTCACAACTGCGGATAAATAAGAATGTTACAAGCATGTGATGCTCCTGTAAACTCACCTGGGGCAAGTAACAGGTGTGGGCAATATAGAAATCACACCTGAAAGCAGATAAAAAGGAGAGACGTTCACTTAACCTTTGCATTGTGTGTCTGTCTGTGCCACACTAAGCATGGACAACAGAAAGAGGAGACGAGAACTGTCTGAGGACCTGAGAACCAAAATTGTGGCAAAATATCAACAATCTCAAGGTTACAAGTCCATCTCCAGAGAACTAGATTTGCCTTTGTCCACAGTGCGCAACATTATCAAGAAGTTTGCAACCCATGGCACTGTAGCTAATCTCCCTGGTCGTGGACGGATGAGGAAAATTGATGAAAGATTGCAACGCAGAATAGTCCGGATGGTGGATAAGCAGCCCCAAACATGTTCCAAAGACATCAAGCTGTCCTGCAGGCTCAGGGAGCATCAGTGTCAGCGCGAACTATCCGTCGACATTTAAATGAAATGAAACGCTATGGCAGGAGACCCAGGAGGACCCCACTGCTGACACAGAGACATAAAAAAGCAAGACTACAGTTTGCCAAAATGTACTTGAGTAAGCCAAAAGCCTTCTGGGAAAACGTCTTGTGGACAGATGAGACCAAGATAGAGCTTTTCGGTAAAGCACATCATTCTACTGTTTACCGAAAACGGAATGAGGCCTACAAAGAACAAAACACAGTACCTACGGTAAAATATGGTGGAGGTTCAATGATGTTTTGGGTTGTTTTGCTGCCTCTGGCACTGGGTGCCTTGACTGTGTGCAAGGCATCATGAAATCTGAGGATTACCAAAGGATTTTGGGTCGCACTGTAGGGCCCAGTGTCAGAAAGCTGGGTTTGCGTCCAAGATCCTGGGTCTTCCAGCAGGACAATGACCCCAAACATACGTCAAAAAGCACTCAGAAATGGATGGCAAAGAAGCGCTGGAGAGTTCTGAAGTGGCCAGCAATGAGCCCAGATCTAAATCCCATTGAACACCTGTGGAGAGATCTTAAAATTGCTGTTGGGAAAAGGTGTCCTTCCAATAAGAGAGACCTGGAGCTGTTTGCAAAGGAAGAGTGGTCCAAAATTCCGGGTGAGAGGTGTCAGAAGCTTATTGATGGTTATAGGAAGCGACTGATTTCAGTTATGTTTTCCAAAGGGTGTGCAACCAAATATTAAGTTAAGGGTGCCAATACTTTTGTCCAGCCCATTTTTGGGGTTTTGTGTGACATTATGTCATATTTGCTTTTCTGCCTCTGTTTTATATTTGTTCCAATACATACAAAGGGAATAAACATGTGTATAGCAAAACATGTGTTAATGCAATACCTTTTTTGTGTGAAATACTTGATTTTCAGGAAAAATATCAAGGGTGCCAACAATTTCGGCCATGACTGTATATTTCTGTTGTGAAGTAACACACATTTCAAACTCCTTTTACTACGCTCAGTAACAAGTCTCCATTCACTTGAATCATATGCGGGCAGTCCCATATTGAGAAGAAGCCCTTTAACATCATTACAATAAGCAAGTTGACAATCTGAATGGAAGAACTTTTGCAGTGCTGCTTCTCTGTTATGATAAAAGGAGACACTAGTGCCAGGTCTGAGTAGTCCTTTCTCTTGCAATCTAGAAGCCAACAATTCAGCTTCAGAGAGAAGGAGGGCCCACCTGGGCCCACCTCACATCAAGCCTTGTGAGTGACTGACATAACTGTGGTACCCATGGGGATGAGAACAGTGAATCTCCCAAACATATTTGTTTTTTAATTTACCAGTCATCCTCTAGCAGAATGTTGTTGGCTTGAATTAGGGGTATTATATTGTGTATTGTAATTCACAGAGAAGTAATAATGATAAAAATAATAGCAATAATAATGTAAAATCAAAACCAGTAAAACAGTGTTTATGCTGTTAATAAATAAACCAGTTTTGGTTTTTGCATATGACATTGTAATTACTAAAAGTGGTATGTCAGCACATATTCACCCTAATGCTATAACTGCTTTAACAGTTTATGAAAAGACCTTGCATTTCACAGCAGGAATCACAGGATCGTTTTTCTTGCTTGCTAAATGTTACAATACATAATTTTGCTGACAATATAAAGGGAAAGATCTTGCTGAACACTTCAATTCAAAGACACTTCTTTTTTACAGGACAAGTTGTCTCTAAAGTATTGGCTAAACCTGAGAATCTGTCAGCTTCGTTTAATGTCGAGGAGGGAAACATTACTGGACATTTTTCATGGAAACTTTCCAAAGTAAATCTTCAACAGCCTATGACAGGATTCCAGGTCACATGGGCAGAAGTCACAACAGAGAGCCGACAAAACAGTTTACCAAACAGTATCATTTCCCAGTCTCAGATATTGCCAGCGGTAAGATACAGTAATATTATTTTTTGTTGTTTTTGTAAGTTTTGTTTCTATTAATTATCTTTTAGAAAGATCAATTTTATCATATAATTTAAGTGCATATGGTTAACTATAATTTAATACTTTACATTATTTAAAACATAAGTTCACCTTTCGTAACATGTTACATGTTACATCTGTATTTATGTATACAGCACCTGCCTGCACCTCGAGAAACCCCCCGTGACAGCGGGTGGGGTTGTTCTCCTGATACCCAATGTCATAATTTAAAAACAGCAGGGCTGTATGGGGCTCCGCCCAAACAGCTGCATTGTTTACTCACAAAAAGCCACGAATAAATGAACTACAAGTCTGTCCGCCACCACAGCAGATGGCTTGTAGTTCTCAATGAACTGTGAGGGTGCTGATGAGTGCTCTTGTAGTTCATTGACACTTCCTAATGCTTTCAAACAGAAAGCTTGTACAGAGGTATGGGCAGAAAGCTGTAGGCAGTGCATTAGCCTGACACTGCACCTGCCATCTGTTGATCCTGGGTGCAATGTTCTGCTGGCTCCTTAGGAAAAAAATAATAAACGCACATGCAAAAAAATGGGCTTTTATTATTTTTTAAAAGGTGAACTTAGCCTTTAAAAATAACTGAACATTAAAGAAGAACTTCGTTCTGCAGCACTCTATATTTTTATACTCCCCTCTGAATATTGTGCAGCTTTCCTTAGGTATTTTATCATTTATCTAAGGTTTTATACTTTAAAATGGAGAGAGAAAACAGTTCATATGACCATCCCAGTGCTTTTCAGTTTTCCCCACACTGGGAGGCTTCATGTGGATCCAACAAATCGCTGCAGTAATGCCCACTCAATGTTACTAAGTAGACATTATGCCTATCTAAACTATTATACGCAGCTTTACCTAAATGTAAACAGTAGAAGAAAGTAAATCAGATGCTGTGTGTTACATGTGTTGCAGTTCAGATCACACTGTACATTGTAATCATAAGACTGAGCTCTCCTTCCATAGCCTTTACTGCTCCTGTGTAAGTGGATAATAAATTACATATTATCATCTAATATGATAAGAAATATTGCATGTCAGTTATATTTACTGAGAAACAACACCATATTCTTACATAGAGAGTAACAGATTACCTTAGAGTACACTGTTAACTGCAGTTCCTAAGTCCTGGGATTCAATGTGCAGAGGGGGTTGGCTCTACCATAATACTTTCTTATCCAGATGAAACTGGCTCCCGTGAAGTTGTATACCCCACATAGGACATTGCAGCAGTTTTTGTCATCCCCTGAAACCCAGATGATATGTTTAAGAGACTCATTGGGTCTAGTGGAGGACTGGGGATCTGCAAACAGGAATTGAGCCTGCTGCATTGCCCTGTACTGTTTTTTGCAAAGCATCAGAGAGAAAAACAGATGAGACCAAAACAGGTGAGGCTGGAGTTCTGCTTTAATTGTGAACACTGTCTTCAGAGTTATCTAACAAACATTTTCTATTATATGCAGGACCATTATGTTTTGACAGTTCATAATCTTAGGCCATCAATGCTCTACCGATTGGAAGTCCAAGTATTAACAACAGGGGGAGAGGGTCCAGCAACAATAAAATCCTTCCAAACACCAGATGTAATTCCATCATTACCTCATAGTAAGTAAACTCTGGTGTCAGATTTTTTTTATTTCCAAATTTTATTTTATAAAATGTTAATATAGTTATCCAAAAAGCAGTGCATCTACTTTCTAAATCCAGCCTGAAGGATTAGATACTTCACTTAGTAAAGTGAATAAAAAATCTGAAAAGTGCATGTTTAGTTTGGCAAGTTAATCACAGTAAATAAGGTTAAAGTGCTTCTGAAGGCTGAAGGTTTTTTTTTACCTTCATACAGTCTATGCATGAAGGTAAAAAGCCTTCTGTGTGCAGCAGCCCCCCAACCCCCCCAATACTTACCTGAGCCCCTTTGTGATCCAGTAATGTGCACAAGAGCCTCAGCTTCCTGGGGACTCTCTCTCCTCATTGACTGAGACAACAGCAGAGCCATTGGGGATGGGGCCAAGTGATGGCTCTATGTGTGAATGGACATGCAGAGTAGCAGCTCAGGAGCAAGCGTGCTTGGGTGCCCCAATAGCAAGTTGCTTGCTTTGGGGGCACTAAGCAGGAGGGAGGGGCCAGAAGTGCCAGCAGGGGACCCAAGAAGAGGAGAATCAGGGCTGCTCTGTGCAAAACCACTGCACAGAGCAGGTAAGTATGACACGTTATTTTTTTTTAAATTGCTTTTAATAACATTTTAAACCAGCCTTTTTCAACTTTCTCAACACAGAAGAATCCTTGAAATTACTTTTTGGTCTCGGGGAACCCCTGCTAAAAATTATTCTATCTACGGCTCATGATACATTGGTGTGATGGTCAGTGGAAAGAATGTTCCTTACACTTGTGGTCATTGAGAAGAATTACCCCCTTATAGATAGCTGAAAATATCAATGGTGTTAGTGGGAACCAATCTGAGAAGCGGATATTGCTCATTGCTCAAGGAACCCCTAGCAACATCTGGAGGAACCCTAGGGTTCCATGGAACCCTGGTTGAGAAACCCTGCTTTAAACTGTGGTCACATCAATAATGTATGAAAATAAAGAATAAAATAAAATTTTTCTTCACCACATGATTGGTTGTTTGTTGTAAACAGTGCAGTGAACATTCACCTTGCCCAAGCTGGCCATCCAGACAAACAAGGTGAATGTAGGAATCCTCCCCACTGGGTCATTGTATTCTGACAATGGCACCCACCGCTGTCAGATTACACTGATCAATGGCTGCAGCCACTGATTGATGGAGCATTTTTCAACATGTTCCTTTGACAAAAGTCGATAAAGCAATCAACTCCTGTGCAGCTGTAGAGTCCACACACACTTATAGTAATTCATCTAGTCCAGCGGGGAATTTCTATCAGAGCATAGCCAGCTTAACCTTCCTAGTGGCAATCCCGAGTGTGACTCGGGGTTAATTTTCAGTACCAAAAGTGGTAACCTCGAGCCACACTCGGGACTACTCCATAGTGCTTCTCCTGTTTCCCCCCCCCCCCGATCCCTACCTTGTCCTGCGATCCCACGATGTCCTCTTGCTATGTCCTCCAGCCATGTCCTCCAGCCAATGCCAACATCCGTCTTCCGGGTTCCGTTCCCTGCAAGCGTCGATATGCACGGGGGGGGGGGGGGGGGGGGGCGGAACCGGCAGGAAATTCAAAAAAGTTAAAATATGACATACAGACAATACACTGTAATCTTTTACAATTACATTACTGTATCAAACCATTTCACCTAAATTTTGTCCCTAGTGCTTTATCCAGTGCCCTGCTTGCACTTTTACTGTTCTTTCTGCCTGGAAACTTGAGAACGTCCATGGCATTCAAAAAGCCTCCCTTTATGTCAAAAGCGGTTTTAGACCAGCTAGAAAACAGTGATAGTGAATTAGAATTACTTGCAGAATTGAGTGATAGTGATTTGTGGGGAAATTCATCATCAGACAATGACATTATTGAATTAAATGTATTAGTATTATATAATTATTTTTTATAATTATTTATTATATTATATTTTATGATTTTGTGTGTTTATCATACCTGAGATGTTTACTAGACTCTTGTTTGGACAGATTTAAGTGAGTTATTCCTAAGAATTACAGGCTTACAATATAAAACAACACATTTTCATGCAAAACAATGTAATGCTTTGACATTCAAAAATATTGATTAGATAGACCGCCAGGGAAGTTAAGTAAACAGTCTCCCAGAGTTTTTATAGATTGAGGCTGATTTACTAGAGGATTTGAGAATGTTCACATCACTTAAATTATCTGATAATGTAAAAAGAAAATCCCTGTTTACTTATTTCATATGTACATGATTGGATAGTTGAACTGAATATTTGCACAATTTATTTTGTGTACATTCTCAAGCAAAGCTGACCATACTTGAATCAAACTTTGGCAGGTCCATCAGGGACCAGCCACATTTTGATCTATGTTTGGGCAGGGAGATTGTACAGAAGTTAATCTACAGTACTGTATTGTACTACTGTAAAACCGCCCTGTCAGATTTTTTCCACTTGATCAAAGGTGATCAAGGTATTCTGATGGCGGGTGTATTCTCACAGCAGGGAGGATTCCCTCATCCACATTGGGAATGTGGATTGTTGAATCGAGTCTGTTTTTTTTCATTCAACTTGCTTGCTAAATTAAAAAGCAAATTACTAATCTATGGGCTGCTTAAGTCTCATTTTCTCTTGGTATGTAAGCCACTTCAAAACAGTGGATAAGTGTATTCTCAGGTTAATTGCTGTACACCAAAAACTGATTGTGGTGGAGACATTACACTGTGAACTAGTTCAAAGGGAGAAGCTAAGGTGTCCGTTTATGAACCAGCAGTAATAGATCGCTGCTCAGTTTTCCGGCATTCTCGGAGAACACAGTTCTCCTGAGAATGCAGTTTATGAAGCAGTTCTCTGAACGAAGGGAGAACGGTCTCCAAACACTGGAGAACGGTCTACAAACTCTGGAAAATGGCTGATTTTACTATAATCTCGCGAGATTACAGTAAAAGATCAGTTTACTAAGCAGAGGTAAATTATCTCTGCTTAGTTTGCGGTCCCTCTGATTCTCCAGCTCTGGGCTGGAGAATCTGGAGGGAGAACACAGATCTCCAGTGAAGGGCTGACATGATCTCCTGAGTGTTATAAACTGTGAATGACCAGAGAATAGCTGAGATCCGTTGAATCGCAGCTATTCTCTGTGTCATAAACGGACACCTAAATTGGATGGTTTTATCTTGAAGAATTAGTGTTATAGCAGTATAGTGTATATCAGTGTGAAAGCTATGTGTTAAGTCCAATGTATTATACCCTTTCTGGGAGCACATTCTTGGTGAAATTATATTAAATTATTTTCATTAAAATTCAGATTGTAACCACATCTTTGGCTGAGAATGTTGACTGTGTTGTTTCAGCCTAAGATTCCACCTACCAGCTATAATGTTTCATTATGGTTCTGTAAATCAGTTCTACATCTGTACAGGCTTCTACCCAAATGCCTAAATATGTTTACAATTAAGGGGGATGACAAGAATTTGGCATGGTCATCCTTATTCTGCACCTTTATGATGACAGTCTCAACACTGATAACTTTTGTATTTTCCTATGCCATGATTCAACATGGCACCAGTGTGTAGCTTTATGATTTATTTCGGCCCTGAACTCTTACATGGTTTCTCTGTGTACTATTTACAAGTGGAGTCCTGTGTGCATTCCTGCAATTTCTGCATAAGGAATATTTTCTTTTTACCAAGTATTTTCAAGAAGAAATTCACAAACATTTCAGAGCTTTTGAAATGTTAATGCACTAAATAGTAAAAGAACACAAACAGTTTGGTAAGCAGTGAATGGATGTACCATTATCCTGCACAGCTGCATAAAAAACAGTGTTGTAATTGGCAATTAAGAACAAAACTGTGTTTGTTGTTACATTCTTCCCTTAGTTTACATTCTTTGCTGGGTAAAGAGTGCTCTGTTCAACCAAGCAGGAATGATTGATACTAAGAATCACCTTTAATCTTTCCTTCCTTTGCAGTATTTTGTTTGTTTTCTATTATTGTGTGATCAATTATATGGGTGAAAGGTAGCTTTAAAAAATTCATACCGTTCCAGGTAGATATAAAAGATACAAATTAATGCAGTTCTGTACTCATTAATAAATCACTAAACTTGTTTATTTTTCTAGTGTAAAGCCGGCGATAGACAGAGCGATTTTCTTTCCTGCAACCTTGGGTTAGAAAGAAAATCGCTTGATTTCCCCATCAACATAGTAAGTGTTGATGGGGGAATCCCTCTCGCGGAGCCAATGTGTTCTCCTGGGGGAAGCTGTCCCCGCCGGGAGAACACAGTGATTACTGCTAGTGGCTATAATAGCCACTTGCAATAATCACATGTAAAATTCTACAGGCTACTGGTACCCAAGTTGATCGATCGATTAACTTGGGTACATTCAGCCTGCCGATTCTTGGCTTGAATCTTGTCCGGTCCCCACTAAACTGGTTGAGATTCAAATCATCTATGGCTGGCTTTAATGCCTGAATTTGACTTTATATAAGCCTCTTGGAACTCAACCTTAGAACTCCCTGTACAGCAACTCTTAGCTTGAGAGGGAGAAGGACAGGACTGTCAGCCAGGTAGCCAGTCAGATGTGCTGCATGACAATGTGTTGACAGGAGCATGCTCATAGGAGGAGAAAGCAGAGAGATAACCTTACCAGTCTGCTAATGCTATTTTACTATAAAGTCAACAGGCTGGGTGGAGGGAGGACACATTCCTTAGTAAGCGGTGTCATTCACCTAGCTGTGCTGTGTAGGGGCTGTGCAAATCTCCGGAATGAATGGACAAAAATATAAAGTCTTTGGATTTCTTTTGTGAATTTAGCTGCTTCAGTTCAGTTTTAAGCAATGTGTACAAGAAAACTTTAGTACTTTATTTTATATACTGATATAAACTATATTTTTCTGTCACTGCTACAGGAAATATTATATTTTATTGTATTGCTTGAATGTTACAGTTTAATAATATCTATTAGAAATAAAAGGGTTCATTTAATATATATGTGAACCCTCACCTTGTAAAACAAACCACTCAGTTTAAAACAGAAATAAAAAGCAAAACATTTGTGCATAAAAAATAAGAAAAATTATAAATACCTGTTTTCCCTTTTTTATATGTGATCACATACCCTCTGTGCTCAGATGCATAAGGATGTTGCAGAGTTGGGGGAGGAAAAACAGTAGTACACTGATCTTCTCAGTGAATGGCTGTAAAGAGGGGGGGATGACAACAGAACTCTGATCATTGGTGGAAAGCAGGCTGAGTTCTCAGCACAGAAAAACAGACCATGGTGTGTTCTCCTGCTTAGCGTGGTTAGTTTTTAATAGGAAAGCAAAGGAACTGGCAGGACCACCATAGATTTCACACAAAGGGAGCAATACAAAGAGAAAAGAGAGCAGGCTGCATAAGAGTAGAAAGAGTAAGTCAAATACAACTTAGTCAAGAAAAATCTTTCTTGTCCTACATGGTAATAGAATCAGTTCCCTGAAATGAGATATTTCCAAAATATCTTTAGAAATTATACACCAGTTTATTAAAAAAAAATCGTACAGCATGTTTTAAAATTGTATTAAGTTTTTTTTTTCCATTACTACCACTTGAGACAGAGCATTTTTCAGGTTGACTATGTTTACCATAAAGGCATACTTTAGTTAGGTCTAGTATTCTGGATTAAAATTGTGCTGCTGGCCAATTTTACACTGCTTAATTCTTTTAGTAAAACTCCCACTTGTACTCTTTTTTTTCCTAGTATATTTCAGACAATTCTCCCTCATTCAAAATTTCCTGCTGTTGGCCAATTCTACACTTCTTTATAATTTGTGGTCTAATAGAGGTTGATAGAACTTGGCCAGCTGCAGGACAGGTTTGCATCAGCAAAAGCAGGAGCAGCAAACTACTGGTCAGTTTGTATCAGTCAGTCAAAGTGGGTCTATGACTGTTTGAGGAAACTACTTGAAAAGGCCATTTTTTTTGAAAAGTTAAACAAATCTAATTGGACTGCTGCTGTATGTTAAGCCAAGCAAAAGAAAAAAAAAACAATCAATTCTACAGCCCATCATGTGCTGGCAGTGTAGGCTGTTGCTGAGACTGCACTTGAACGTTGTACTGTTCCCTAACACCACATACAGCTATAAGGCATCCCCTCAAGCATGTTATTTAAAGTGTAAAAAGCAAAACGTTTTCTTTAATTTTGGATAGAGTAAGGGAAGGTTATAACCCCTTTCAGTTTTTTTAGTTCTATGCCAGTTTGTTAAATTATGTACTAAATGTTTAACATCATTATGATAATAATATGCCACCCTATGTTTAATAGATTAATGTTCGATGTTCTGTTTTCTTTGCAGGGCCTCGTGTGAAGCAACATCATCCTCATCACTACAAGTCATCTTCAGATAAAATTTGAACAATTACTGTTAGACTTATATAAAATTAACTTTGCATGACATAAAAACCCACCTAGAAGGACAATGCATCATTTTCCTGAAGACATATCAAATTTAAAACAGGCAGCCATTTCTGCATTTGTGTTCTGGACCTTCGATGTGGCTTCTTCTCAAGTCCCAGTATGCAACGTGTAGCATATATTGAAGGATAGATTTGAGCTACTTGTGTTGCTTTACTTTGTATTTTACCTAGATTGTAACAAAAAAGTGCTTTATATGGCACTTTTTTCCTTTGTACCAATTATTCCTTGTAGTTATTGGTTTGTGAATATTATATTTTGTAAATACTGCTAAGTGTAGGAACAAAAATTAATTATAAAAGGAACAGGAAGGAGGCCAGTATAAATGATGGAAGAAATAAGATGCAAAAGAGAGAGTTGCAAAGCAACAGCCAGGGAAGCTTATAAGGTTTGCAAAAGCCTGACTGTTTCATGGAAAGAAATGGGGCAATTAGCTTCTAGTGTGTATTTTTGCCCCATAAAGGTATACCTATCTTGTATAGCTTCAGATTTCAAAACATCTGCAGCTATTGGTGCTTCTTCATACCGCAAAGAGAAAAGAAACTTTCAGCAGAGCTTTCTTTAAAACTCTTAGCTACACAGAGTACACATGGGACATCTAGATCTCTGTGATGCACTGCCCCTTTTGAGCTGCCATTTTCTAGTTTTTCGAACACCTTGCTGTTTGTGCTATCCACAAATGTTTACCATTCAGTGGGATTTGTGTTTGCCTACTCTGACCTGGAAACACCATTTTTTCCCAAAAAGAATGGACAGACCAGCAGACCGAATGGACATTCACCAATTATTCTGGTTGTACTGCTATTCCTCAGTTGTCCATTTGTTGACTAAACATTTCCTTCATTATAAGTACAATGATAAATACAAGACATTTTTTAAGGAGAATGGCATATATTCACTCCAGTAAGGGTTAATATTCCCTTATTTAATTTTCCTTAGGTCCTTGAGAATATACAGCGGACAATAGTAGCTGTGTATAGCCATATTGTATTGCTAGCCATCAAAGAGTGCCTCTACAGTTCATATCTACACATCAAAAGTCAATCGATAAAAAAAAATGTACTTCAATCTTGTTCTTTGTAATAGTTTATTACATTGCAAGACAAAATATGGTCACCATGTGATGCTTTAAAAATTACTTTCACATTTTATATGTCGTATACAGTGCTGCATTTAGTAGAATTTATAATTATTTTTCATTCAAATATATAATATAATATATATAAATATATATATTTTTTGTTTCTGAGTTTCAACACAATGTCTTCCAATTGTTACCTAATTTTCACCCAAAATATTATGCTATGCTTTCTTATGATAATTTCAACCAGTTAATCAGTTAATGCAATGGCTTCAGAATAATCAACTCATTGGGTAGTTTATTGATTGGTAGACTTTAGATTTCTTTTGTCATATTTTTGTTTTTAAAATTTGCATTGTGTTAAACGTAAAACATAGCACTCCTTTTGTTTGTATATGTATGTAAAATAAGGATTTTTTGATGAGTTCATAAAGTGATAATGGGGTTTTCAAATATTAGAAAATACAAAATGCCAATTGGTATGGGCTTGCTTACTTCTGTTGTTGTTTTAACATTTATTTTACTTTGGAGTAGTTGATTCAAGGTGTTTTTTCAAAGCTGAACTAAAGGAAAAGGGCTAAATACACAGATAAAATACATATTTGGAGAATTGCCAAAGGATTTGTATTGCTCTCCATCCAGTTCTGAAATGTACACAGCTCTGCCACCTACACCGTGTTCCAAATTATTATGCAAATGATATTTTTCTCATTTACCTAAATAATTGATGTAAATAACAGTCAGCATAATTCTCATGTTATCAACTTTTAAGAGTACAATTCAAATTTTATTGAACAAACCTCCTAATGATAACAGTATTTTTTTTAAACATAAAAAACTTCCAATGCACTGTTCCAAATTATTACACACAGTAAGTTTCAAAACACTTTATAGGTTGTAAAGAACTGAAAATTGTTGTTTGCAGCATATTTACTGAAATCAAAAGCTATTTCAATCAAACTTTTAACAACATTTTAACTTTTTAAACATTTTAACAGGTCACGTTACATTGTAACATAGGACCCCTTATTTGATAGCAGCTTCACAAGTCTTGCATCCATTGAACTTGTGAGTTTCTGGACAGTTTCTGCTTGAATTTGTTTGCAAAATGTCAGAATAGCCTCCCAGAGCTGCTGTTTGGATGTAAACTTGCTCCCACCCTCATAGATCTTTTGCTTGAGGATGCTCCAAAGGTTCTCAATAGGATTGAGGTCAGGGAAGGATGGAAGCCACACCATGACTTTCTCTCCTTTTATCCCAATAACAGCCATTGATGCAGAGGTATTCTTTGCAGCATGAGATGGTGCATTGTCATGCATGAAGATGATTTTATTATGGAAAGCATAGTTCTTCCTTCTGTACCAGGGAAGAAAGTGGTCAGTCATAAACTCCACATACTTTGCAGAGGTCATCTTTACACCTTCGGGGGCTCTAAAGGGGCCGACCAGCTCTGTTTCCATGATTCCAGCCCAAAACATGACTCCACCACCGCCTTGCTGATGTCGCAGCCTTGTTGGAACAGGGTGGCCGTCCCACCAACCGTCCACCAACCATCCACTACTCCATCCATCTGGACCATCCAGGGTTGCACGGCACTCATCAGTGAACAGGACTATTTGAAAATTAGTCTTCATGTATTTTTCTGCCCAATGCAGCTGTTTCTGCTTGAGAGCATTGGTTATTGGTGGCCGAATAGAAGGTTTATGCACAGTTGCAAGACTCTGGAGGACTCTACACCTTGATGTCCGTGGGACTCCAGAGGCACCAGCAGCTTCAAATATCTGTTTGCTGCTATGTAACGGTATTTTAGCAGCTGCTCTCTTGATCCGATGCATGGATCTGGCAAAAATCTTCCTCAATGTGCCTTTATCTGCACAAACCCGTCTGTGCTCTGAATCAGCCACAAATCTCTTAATAGTGCGATGATCACGCTTAAGTTTTCGTGAAATATCTAATGTTTTCATACCTCGTCCAAGGCATTGAACTATTTCACTCTTTTCGGCAGCAGATAGATCCTTTTTCTTCCCCATATTGCTTGAAAATGGTGCTCTGCTTAATAATGTGGAACACCGTCCTTTAGTAGTTTTTCCTTAAATTGGGCTCACCTGCCAATCTAATTATCACAGGTGTCCGAGATTGTTTTCAGTGATCAAAAGAGCCCTGACACACAATGCCATCCATGAGTTAAACTGAAAAACAAAATATTTCATCTTTGTGACACTTAAATAGAATTTGCATAATAATTTGGAACGCGGTGTATATAGCCCTTTTTGACAGAACAGGAGATGTGCTTTTGTCCCTGCTGCACTTAGGCAACATCTATAGGTACTCAATACCCTTATTCTGTGACTGGACACTGAAATGAGAGGCAACGCACTGGAGAACTCCTTGTATCACTTCTCCCCATTCTAGCCTGAACTTTATATACAGGATTTTGCAAAAGGATGATAACTAATCTTATTCAGAAAAGTTACATTTACTGTTGCTTTTATGAATACAGAACTGCATGTATTTAAAACCTGCTTGGAGTTTAAGCTTAATGTAATGAGAACTGTAGTACTGTATATGGCAAATACTATGTTTGCTATGGTAGCCATTACCTACCTAACAAAATCTGTCACAAACCTGGGAAATTCAAATTGAGCACAGAGTGCGAAAATACATATGCAAAAGTTACCTTCAGTGAAACCACTCAAAACAAACTGCAGACCCAAAGATAAAGACAGCTAAAGACAAGCTGAACTTTCCTTAATCCCATCAACCTCCCTATTTCTCATCGACACCACTGGTTATGTTAAAGGGTCAGTGTGGAGGCTTGCTAGATCTGGGGGGAGTTCAAGTTTGATTCTTACAAAAAAAGTCAAAATTTACATATTATTTCAGCTTGCTGTCTCTGTATTTACTAAACATTTTGACAGGGTCTTTAAAGATGGTTTCCTTTGTTTTTTTTTTTATTATTATACAGGATTTATATAGCGCCAACAGTTTGCTCAGCGCTTTACAATATAACAATAGACAATACAGCAACAATACAGTTCAATACAAGAGGGATAGGAGGGCCCTGCTCCTTGGAGCTTACAATCTAAGTTATTCAAAAATGTGTACTTTCTTCAAAAGATAAATATGAAAAAGGTAAAAGAAAAAAAAAGTTTCAGCTGATTTAGAAAAAAAAACATGTAAAATACTTATAAGCCTAATGTGAAAAATACATAAAATACATGAATTGTCTTACCCAGCATATTCAGGCTAGATCAATTGCTGTGTACATCATTTATTAGTAACTCTTTTGTGCTGTAAAATAAATAGACGTATACAATTGTTTAGAAAACAAAAAGGTTGTAATTTTATAGTCCAGTATTTTTTTTTTTTTTTTTCGTTTTAAAGCTAATCACTGTATGGAAAAGCATGTTATTGTAATCTCGAACTCCAGTGTGTCATTTTCATATTTGTGATGACCAGCACAAATTTTGCAGTGACTTAGCTGTCATTTTGATTGCAACTTACATATGCAACTTTTTTTCCTGGTAATTTTTTCTACAAGTTCAAATGTTGCATAAATGTATAGATTATACTTCTGGGATGAGTACGCTAATTACAGAGGTCATGCAATATTCTGAAAGGAGGGTAGTCCGTGAGACTCTCAGCATAATAGTTTGGGTGGTATGTATCCTATTTAGATTCTGAACACTTGCAAGCACTATCTAGGGTTGTCTGTAAGAGACAATCCTTTTTATATCCAAATTTTGCCGAAATCCGTAAATCAGCTTTAAACTATATTTTTTTCTAAAATATCAGTTATGTATTGCCAAAAAATTTTCTGGCAGCAGATTGTTGCATGTGACACCTAAATGTACATCAG